CCAAAATTAGGGATTGATTTCACTTTTTGCAGAACAGGAAGGTTTTTTTTAATTGCAGTGATCTGCGCTTGGAAGACACTAATTTTGCAGAAAAGACACCACCTCCCACTCTATTATCTAATTTGGACCCATCCGTATAGCTGCTTATCCCTGCGCCCTTATCCACCTTGCTTCTTTCCCACTCTTCTTCAGAAAGGAAGGCAATATTTGGGACCGAATTTAAGTTCAATTCTATAAGACTGCGAAAATGGCATTGGGTAGAATCAAAATCGAATTTAAAGTAGCAATTATTTCTAATATGTAAAGAATTTTACTTAAGTTGGAAAGTTTTTGGGAACCAATAAAATTAGTTTAGGACAAGAGACCAGTTGTAAGTCTAAACAGTTGTAGAACATCCAAAATGTAGAAAACTTGTGACGAGGCAGCATCTGTCTAAACTATGCCGTTTCTATGTTTTGGTTACAGATAGAATATCTGGTATATTTTAGAACGTCTTTTCATTCATCAAAAGTTGGAAGAATTCAACAAGCTTTTGCTGACTCTCAAAGAGATATGTACATATCTTGCTATTCAACCTTCTTGTTGGTGCTCGTACTTAACTCTCATCGATCTTAAAATAGTTTTTCTCTCAGTTGAGTTTTGTATATTTCAATAGAAATTGTTTTTTTAATTTACATAAATACAGTAAATATTTTCTTTGCTTGCATTCTCAACTTAACAAAAAAAATAATTATTCTTTGCTAATTCTCATGAAAGAGCCATTAGTTTTGTCATATTTATAGCATTCGAGTTATTTCATTTAAAGACTGCTGACCAAGGAAAAAAAGAACATCTGATAAAGAAAAAGTGCATATATCATCTCTCAAATTCTATACATTATTGATATGAATATAGTTTCCATAGCGAATTATAAGAGAAATGTATGAATATTCCCATGTCATAAAAGCCATATGCCACTACCCTGATAACTATCTTAGAAATGTTCGCAAAATTTTAATATTTCCTATCAGCAACGAGAAGTTCCCACAAGCGACACTTACTATTCTAATTGACTTTATCACTGTTATGTTTGTTTTTGTTTTTCCTTGAGCTACTTGTGACCGAAAGTACATCTTATCGTTTCGTCATCATCATACTTTCCATTTCTCGGAGACTATGGTATTTAGTACTTGACCAGTTTAATCGTGAGAACTCCGCATGCTTGGTGACTTATGGCATATTCCTTATACAAGTATTGCACCCCGTCCCTTAGACGATATGAACATCCCTTGCTTGACGGTCTCATGCTTGGTGCACCATGACCGAGTCATCATTTCGATCAATTGTAGCGCTTAAAATTTAACTTTTGACCCTTCTTGCGGTATTGTCAAAACGTGCTACGCTTCCGCAAACACAACCCCCAAAAACTCAAAATCATACGAGAGAGTATGTGTGTGTCGGCAAAGCAACACCTGTGCTGAGACTCTAACGAAAAAGGCAAAGGTGCTATATGACTTTTCAGAAGGCAATCCAGCGGAACAGTGGTGGTTGACTTGGTCCGGCTTGCCTTGGCTTGACGTCTTGCCCACGCAAGTATTTCGACGTTTCGTGGTATGCAACAATCTGCCAGCGTACCCCACACACGCAGAGGAACAGGACGACCTGCTGTCTGAATTATGCATAATTGTGCTCAGCTGAATTGAGCGGTGTTGAGTTGAGTTGAGCAAACTTGAATGGATTGTTGAGTCAGCTCTCGAAGGGATGTTTCATGACAGCTCACCTGAAGAAGTACACCTGTGTGATTATGCATGTGGACCCGTGCAACCTGTGTTGCAGTCCTTCACAAATAACAAGCACTGCAACGAAGTATAATATCCTGACAATCTCAACTTGACCGAATCACCACGGTCGTACGAACCGTTCGCTTTGACTTATCCAACTCACTTGGTGAACTAAGGTTTTGACCAACGCTTGTCTGGGGTATTTGATTGAATTGAATGCATTTTAACAACACTTTCTGATCTTTAGATAGCCATTAGGTCCCTTTGGGATCAAGTAGAGCAGTACCCGCACTTCGACCTTTGCTCTGCAATTGTTGTTTTCGTCGTGCACGCCATCAAATGAGTTCGTCTATAACAACAACGCATGTGTTAGTGTTCTGTATTCTATTTTATTTTTTTGGTCGAGTGTTGCTGTTGTTTTTGGAACGGCGGTCAAGTGTCAGCACACTTGCCCACATATAAAGTGGAATTGAGTGTAAGCCAGGTAGTGTCGCTGCCGTAGGGGTTGTTTATTCGGGCCAATTATCTATTCACTTTTCTGACTTAAATGTACTACTAACTATTATTAATGCTGTTGTTTTTTTTGTTGTTGCGTTTATTGTGTGCCATATGAGTGCACACGATTCATCATTTACATACACTCGCCCACACATACACACACACAGATAGCGCTGCTCGCATTCACTTTCGTCGCCGAGCGCGAGTCCTGTGTGAGTCCTTCCGGTCCGTCCGAGTTTTTTGGACTAAAGAGTCAATTGCGCGGCCTTAAATGGCACACTTGTTCCACAAAGCGTCTAGTGAGCGGTTGTGTCCATCTCGAAAATCTTCTGTAAAAGTGTGTAAAAAGTTTTAAGTTCAATAGTTTTGTGTTGGTTTTAGTTATTTTTAATCGAGAAGCGTTTTGAAAATATGTGCCTTAGTTTAGAGTGAAATTTTTGAGGTTTTTACTGTGTAAGTACATTATGCCTGTATTATAGTATGTGTGCTCAAAAATTTATTGAAAAATGAAAGCATTATTTATTGCTATAAAAAATATATTAATAATCGAAAATTAAGGTACACCTTTTTGGCGCTTTTCTTGCGTATAAAAATAATTTTATCTTAGTATCGAATTTTTTGAATTAAAAGCTAACTGTAAGTCCTTAAAGAATTTGGTAAAACAAATGTTAGGTTTGCTTGGAAAGCAGAGTTTTTAAATATTTAAAATTAACATTTTAACATTAGAAAGCTGTATAGAATTTTTAAACTCTTAATACAAAAATATTCCAAAAAGCAAATATATTTGTTGTAGCTTCGTAAAATTTTTTACAAATTATTAAAAAGTATATCATTTTTTCTTTATTATATTTATTTTTTAATGTTAAAATATTAAAAAATAAATATTTTTTACTTATAAGAAAATCTTACTTTCAGCACATTTGTTATATTTTGTCCCATTTTTAACAAATTATTTTAATAGTTTTCAGATATATTTTCCTCTATATTTTTAATTTTAAATATTTTTTAAATGAATAAAAAACATTTTTTTCTTAGTTTTCTAAAATTATTAAAAAAATAGACATGTATATGTCTAATTCTAAAAAAAATTAAAACAAATTTTTTACACATTTCAAAAGTTATATAAAAAAATATAGAGATATATTTGTTTAAAATTTTTGATTGTTTAACATATCTATTATTTTTTCGTTTGCTAATTTTTTTATGATTTTTACTAGTTTGAATGGGAAATTTAATATACAAATGGCTATTGTTATACTCAAATTTTTCATATATTTTGTTGTTGCTATGAATAATATAGAACAAAAAAAAAATTATCTTATTTCTAATTTTAATTTCAAGGTTAAGCATATATTTCTTATTATTACATTTTGTGTATTTTGTTTTCTAATTTTTTGTTTGTTTTTTGAACAATAATAAAACATAATTATATTAAAATAATACATATTTAAAACTAAAAAACAAAATTTTTTGATTTTTGAAAAAAAAACAATAAAATAATTAATTATTATTTTTTCTCATTAAGTTTTGTATATTTAGTTTTTTATTTTCCTATTTTGATGTTTGAACCATTCCAATTTAAAAAAATAATATTTTAAATATTAAAAAGTAATTATAATGAAATAATACATAATAAAAAAGGAAAAAAATTTGAAAAACGCAGATTTTGAAAAAAATGTGTTAGTTATGTTTTATTTATTCAAATTTTATTTTCACGGTTTATTACATTTTGTATATTAGTTTTTACATTTTTTTGTTTTTCCAAATTAAAAATAATAATAACAATTTAAATATTAAAAAATAATTATAATCAAATAGTACATATCTATATAAAAAAATAAAAATTTTGAAAAAATCAATTTTTGAAATTTTTCGCTTTGGTATAATATAATATTATTATTTCGGCTTACGACTTTCAACTTCGTTCAAGCCGCACTAAATAATAGTAATATCAAGACAATACCATCAACGGTACAGCCCATGGCTGCCACATTAGAATTAAAAAGCATCCTGTTACGCGAAGCAAAAAGACAATAACAATAATAATGTTAACAACAACAACAACTATTGGTTCAGTGATTTTATCTGCGGTGTATTCATTAAAAGTGGCGCGGCCATTGCACCAGCTACGAGCTACCAGCCGTAAGCTGCCAGCCAAACGCCAAAAGTGGTACAGTGGTCTAGTGCTCCGAACTGCTCACCCACGTAATTGTGGCGTATGTTGTTGTTGTTTAACACACAGCGTTCGATTTAATGGCGAGTACAATAGTGGGCTACTACCGAATGTTGCTGGTTGGTAGCCAACAATTTGGTAGTTTTTTTCACGCCAGCTAGTCAGTAGGCGTCCTCCACGCTGGTCAATTGACCTTTGATGAGCCCAAAATTACAGCTGCAACTGGTAATTTCCTGCGGTTGTGATGCCCGGTGGCGAGGCAATAAGTACGTCGCCACAAACTCATGCCACAAGGCAGCTGATGCTGTGGCGCTGTTTTCCGGCGAAGATGTCGCGGAGCAGCGCGGGTAGTTAACGTGCCTTTTGCTGCCGCCTCGGCGCTCATAAATCATTTGCCGTAAGCGCGCCGCCCGCTACTGGGCTCCAAGATAGCCGCGCTACATGCATGTAATGAGCATTGTGCTGCCGAAATATGTGTCAATAATTTTATTGTTGTTGTGTTTTTTTTTTTTTTGTATGAATGTTACACTTTGGAATCATTCGTCTACTTATTTATTTATTTTTTTCAGGATCTCTCTATAGTGGCGGCAACACCACAGGCGACGACGAGTACAACCGTGACCGTTCGTTTAGCGAGAAAGCGGATTGCCTTGATTTGACCGACGACGAAAACGGTTTCGACATACGTTGTGAAGTTTGTGATAAAACATTTTCGGACCTAGACGAGTAAGTAAATCAATTAACTACATTATCTGAGTTTTTAGAAATATTATTATTAAATATTTGCTTCGTTGCCGCCCAAAATTAGTATTTATTTTAGGAAGGGAAAATAATTAAGTAAACAAGTAATAAAAAACGCGCCGTAATTAACAATTTAACGACCTGAGTGACTATACAAAAATGGTCTGTCTCACCATAGAGGCAGTTCATGACACTTTACCGCAACAGTGGCCTTCGTCAACTCGGCGCTTACACTTTTCCATACATATTCAAAACTGATTTTCTTTCACAGGGATATTAATGAGAACCAAATATATTATATATAGACATAATTTGTATAGGAAAGTAGTGTATCTGTGGGCCCAAATTTTGGAAAACTTTTGATTTCAACTCATTAGGAAATTTACGAAAGCTTTCAATTATTTTGAATTTCAATATCACTTTTCCGGCTTTCAATTATACAAGAAAGTTCCAATTATGCAAGAAAGGTCTTCTTGTTTTTGTTCTAAATTATAAATATTATACTTCACCCGAGTTCGTTTTGTTTAGAGTTTTTGGTATTTTTAAAAACATAAAAACAGGAAAAAACGTTACGTAATACCCTTCACATATACAAATTTTTCCATACAAGAACTTTTAATCGGTCAGTTTGTATGGCAGTGACGAGTATATGCAATAGTGGTCCGATCTGAACAATTTGTTCGGAGATTGCACCATTGCGGAATAGTCCAAGCTAAATTTTGTGCAAGTATTTTGCCAAATAAAAATGTTTTCCTTGCAAGGACAGTATTTTGATCGTTGGGTTTGTATGGCAGCTATATGCTAAGAGTGGTCCGATTTCGGCGGTTCCGACAAGTGAGAAGTTTTTTGGGGAGAAAAAGACATGTGCGAAATTTCAGATCGATATCTCTGAGGGACTAGTTTTTCGTATATACAGACATACAGACGGACGGACGGACGTCACTAAATCGACTCATCTCGCTGATGATTTATATACATGTTTTATAAGGTCTCTGACGTTTCTTTCTGGATGTTACAAATTCCATGGAAAATTTTATATAGCCTGTTCAGGGTATAATAACAAACTTTTGTTAAGAATTTCTATTGTACCGTATAGTTAGTATCACTCGTAGTCATCGAATATTTTTGAAATATTCAGGTCTCAATTAATTTAACCTCTACCCGCATATTTACGCCACACTCGTCCAAGAGCTTAACCCATCCTTAGGCAAGTTATTTCTCTAATAAGTGCTGATATGCTTATCGTCAGTGATTGTTTTGATAATTAAAATAACCCTTTGAATTTCGAACGCTAATAAGCAACGGAAATCAGATAAAAGAAACCACAATTGTATTTGTTTGCCAAGAAGGAACTATTAATAGTATAGGACTGTAGCAGTCAATCGGTTGCTTAATCAGATTACCGCTGTTAATTACACCGGTATGTGTCATCAGCGATAATGAGGCAGCAATTAAATGTGTCAATCTAACTGTAACCTTATGAGAACTTAGTCTACTACACGTTTAGGTATATATACTCGTATTAGCTGATATTTAGATTGACCTTGACGTACCACTTGTGAAAAAACGATTTTATTTTTATTTTTTTCTGTTTTCTATTATCTACGTTTTTCTATAATTCTCATATGCTTATATGGAAGTTATTTGGCACAGATTATTGCCTTAGGCATAGCTGAAATCTCCGAAGAAATTGTTCAGATCAAGTCACTGTAGCATATAGCTGCCAACAAACTGAACGATCGGAATAAAAAGTTTGTATGGAAAGCTTTTTCATTTCACGAGATATCTTCAAGAAATTTGCCATGGATTATTGCTTAAGGCAATGATGCAATTTCTGAAGATATTTTTCAGATCGAATCACTATAGCATATAGCTGCAATACAAACCAAACCGATCAAAGCTTGTAAGGAACTTTTTTATTTGTGAAGAGTTATATAGCTTCAATGCAACTGAAGTTAAGGTTTTTTCATGTGATGTTTTGCTTTACAACAAAATAGTCACACGGGACCTTTTACAACAACAGAAAAAGGCCATAAATCCATACCGCTCATTAACATTGCTAATCACTTTATTTGCTCACAACACTTTTCTCCAATTATCACAAAGAGCTCAACGACTTGGTAAACAAAAATGGATTGTCAAGCAAATTGAAATGCAAATATTTATACGCAAAAGTGATAAAGTGTTGGTGTTTGTTTGAAGACACCCCTGAGTGTCTTCCAATTCGAGTGGAATTAGTGCAAGTTTTTGTGTGCAAACGCCGTTGTGCCGCTAAGCGTTGGAGCGCACTAGCTATACCAGCTTATTTGCACGACAGTTAAAGTCAATTGTTGAAGTGTTGATATATTTACATGCCACGCCACATACACATACATATGCAGTGATTGAGCGCGGCTGAGCACGACGGGGACACAGGCACAATTCAAATACTGATTCGTTTGCACATTCAAACGGAGGTAGAGGGAGAGTTGAACTCAAGCGAGCTTAGCTGGTCACTGTGCCACCGTCGCTGCACGTGGAATACGATAAAATATGTACGTGATTATGTGGAAAGTAAAGTAATGTGGAGCAGGATGTTTCGTTTGGGCGCTTGCCGGCCCTTCGTGTGCTCGCGCCTAATGCATATTTTAGATTTTCTGCCATTATTAAATGAGCAAGTGCGACGGCACGCAACAGATAACTCGCCACGCCACTATGCAACACATGGCATTCAGCGCAGCTCAGGCGCCACTATATGCAACCAAGATATCGCAGGTGCTTTCGCTGATATTTTCTCCATTATGAAGAGCAAAAACCAGCATAAAGCAAAGTTTGCGCCAACAGGCGTTCGCTGTATTTTACCTGAGCGCCACATCCCCAAAGCGGTCAGTTATACAAATATAAATGTGTGGAGAGACAATAAGAACGCCCCACTTGAGAAGCGCGCACCGCGGCGCACCACATATGCCTTTATAAGTATACGCTCATATGTCTATTATTTGCTTGATTATCGCCGCGTTCCCGCCATCCTTTTTGTTGGTGCTCTTATCTGATATTTGTCGTGCACTCATTCATTTTGATGTACATGCAAACCGCCCCAGAAAGACAAATAAATACAAACAATAACGCCTTCAGGCACTCAACACCCACGCACACACCAACACATACACGTACATAGCACAAGGCTTTTGTAACCGCGGCAGAGCAAGCTTGTATTAGCCACTTGACATGTGCTACCTCATTACGCGCGGTACTCCAACCAACCCAACCGACAACACAGCGCGCCCCACTCGTTGAACGCCCGTGCGCGATAAGCATCTTCGGTCGTCAAATTGTGAATTTTTATGTTTCGAATATGACCGTTATTCGCTGTGTGTGCGTGGACATGCACATCAAGGACACAAATCCTGACGTTTCTGTTGTGCATGGTTTCCAACAGCTGCGCTCACAAAGCGATTTCGGTCGGGATTGTACATATTGGAGCGGCGCGATCGTATCGCACATTAAATATTGAACATCATTTGGCTAATTGTTGACAGGCGAACCAGTAGACAAATATTTAGATAATAAACTTTGGCGGCATTGAGGATATTTATCATGATTGCTACATTGCTTAGCATATATATTTGCTATATATAATTTATTTATGCTGTTTTTTCAGTTATTTTTTGATTTTATTTATGTATACATTTTTTAAAAACTTACAAGTTTCTAATTTATAATTTTATTTTCTAGTTTGGACCATCATTTGGTTGCTAAGCACTCGTTTCGTAAAGACGAGTTTCCCTGCGAATTGTGCAACAAGCCATTTTGTCATCGACCTTTATTACTGAAGCATCGCGCCTTAGCGCATAACGAAGTTCGAAAGTATCCCTGTGAGAATTGCCCAAAGGTGAGTTTCAATAAATTATTTATAAGTTCGTTTATTATTTACTACCAAATTTCGCAAAATTTGAATTTGAGAAAGAAGAATTATAAAGGGAAGTTTGTGCTTGAGGTTAGCAATGTTATTAAGCATTAAGGGGTGGTGTTGATCTACCCTTTATTTAAATTTTGTTTAGATTTGTTTTCGGTTTTTTTTCGGATTGTTCATTATTTGCTTTTTCGATTGGTAGGAAAAATAGTTTAACAAGCGCTCTAGTTAGCATTCCGGCTTGCATGTGGAGATCAACTATTCGGATATGACCATCGGAGTCGTTATGCAGCCATTCTATGTGTCAGAGCCGCCATTCGTTGGGGCGGGAGACAATCGTCATGGATGAGAACAGAATCTCCAAGGCTTGGCACTTTTTCAGACGTCTGTCTTCGGTACGTGTTATGGAGGTCCCCTATATACTCTTCTTTTCATTGGCGTCTGAAGTTATGTTGGGAAATTTTATTTCTATCCCATCGATTTAATACGGGTAGCGATTCCCCGGCTGCTCAGCTATGGCCAGATTGGGTGCTCCTTTGAGAACATGCGCTTGGGTTAGTCCGACGAAGTGCTACATAGCTACCTTTCATTAAGGCCAGAGATCTTAACATTGAATCCAGAAACTGGTCAGTATCTGGAACCATATAATGTTTTCTAAAATATGTTTTTCGTTATATATCGTATATTTTCTAAGTTCCTATACATTCGTAATCATTCGAGAGAAATGAAATTCTTGAAACGAACTGTCAAACTTTTTTAACAATTGTAAAGGAAGCATTACTCTTGTAATGAATTTTTTTATCAAAGACAATAAAAATAACGAATTGATACTCTTATTCTTCTTTACTCCCTTCAATCACCATATCAATAATTTTTTACAAATACTTTGACGGCTTTTCAATCGCCGAATTTTTTTTAACGTTTATTCCTTCATTCGTCGACCGAATTTGACAGCTGTTCGCTTTATCCAATTTCGCCACCAAATCGCTTATAGTATTTGTAGATTTTATAGGTCACTCGGTTTTACGATAACTGTATTAGTTTTGATCGCATTCGTGCGTATCAGGTCCTATTTTTCATAGATTATGTATAGTTTGGTTTCATCTCCAAACCCAAAACTACTTTTGATGTCAGAATTTTTCCAAACCTTGCTTCACTTTATCTTTAGAGTGACAACGCCAATATGGTTCAGAGTAGCGGCTCGTGTTACTTTTTTCAGCATTATATTGAAGAAGACTCACGAGATGCCCTGTCGCACTGTTTAAAACCTCATCTTGTATCGAACGGCCCGAAGCGGTTCTTCCCGATATCGACGGAGCTGATGGTTATGTTAGTTTCGCAGGGATACCAACTTTAAACATGACGTCGAATAGACAGCTTCCGTTAATGCTGTCGAAAGCGGCTTGACAAAAAGGTAATGGTCGATTTGTTTGTCGAGGGTCTTCTGCAGGATTTGACGTAATGTGAAAATCTGGTCTATGAATGATTTGCGAGGTTTAAAGCCTAACTGATAAGTTTATTTACAATGAGCTAAAGTCTTCTACATAATACTGTCGAAAGAACCTTATATACAAAGTTAAGAAGGCTGATCCCGCTCTAATTAACGAGACTGGGGGTCTCTCTTCTTGTGGATAGAGCAGAATTCCCTCACATGCCAAGCATTGTGCATGCAAAAAAAGAAATACTTCACTTAGGCGAATATATTATGTATGAATACTTATAATACAATTATACAGTTAAACCTTTCGTTGTGACGGAAGCCTTTACGAGCTTCGTTATCCGAAATCGTGAACACGTGTCTACTTATGGTCATATTTAATAAGCGCACCACGTGTTCTTGTCCTTGTTAACACAGCGCGGTGCGGTAGCCAACAGTAGTTGATCATTTGTATACACATTAGTCAATCTGCGAAATAGCCATAAGCGCGAGCACATTTCTACCAAGTGGCAAATGAAGCTGAGGCTCGCGGTCAGGGGCTGTCAGCTCAGACGTGTTTTGCCTCTCAAACGAAAGAGATTGTCCGGCCAGAGTGTGGCATTGTAGAGCAGCGCGCCGCACCCCGTGCAAGCTCACCTGTGCGCCGTTTCGGCTGCTTGTTGTTGACTTTGAAGAGACTCCGCCTTGTCCATTTATCTTCTTTGTGACAATCTTGCGCCTCGCAGCAACAACACCATGAGCTATGCCTCGGTGTTTCTCTATGTAGCGGAATATGTTTTCAACAAATCCAAGATTACGTAGTATGCGTTAATTTTTCAAAAGCAGAACGGTGGTGGGATGGGGCACATAAGAAAAGAAAATAGTATAATGAATAAGATAAAAATTAATGGAATGTCACGGTGCTTAATGTCTAAAGTGCGAAGATTGATCAACCAGCGCCAAAATGAAAGAGTTAAGGCAAAGCAACAACAGAACAATAACAAATAGACCTGAAAGACCTGCGTGATTGTTAAGAGTTTGAGATGCGGAGCGTAGTGGAGACGCCATTTCGAATCATAGCAACGACAAATGTCCAAATCATTGATTTCATTACAATGTGGCATTTAACAAAGTAACGCATGAAATACGCAATAATAAAGTACTGGAGATTTGATAGAGAAAAAAATATATACTCGGTCTATAAATTTATGAGCGATGAGGAGCTACGCTGCCAGCGCCGCTGACGACGTTGCCGTGTTGATAATGCTGATGATAAAATACTTTTGATTTCTAGTAGATCAATAGCCGGGGCCACTTACTTTTGAATTACCACTGAAGCGAAATACAACAAGAAGAAAACAATAGAAGATTAACAACAATAACAACAATTGTTACTTGAATAACAACAAATACCATGAAAAAGAATGAAATTGAACGCAAAAAAGTAGACTCGAAATAAAAAATTTCAATGCATTGTTTAAACATAAAAAATAACTCGAAAATGAAAAACAAAATTAAAAAAATGTAGAAAATTAGACAAAAGAAAAATGAGTTTGAAATATTCAAAATCAGGGCGTGTACTCACCCAAAGTACTTAAAGTGTGGTAATGATCAAATTTGGAGCTGTGACGTCCGCCCGCACACTTCAAAAAGGTCGAAAGGTGTAAATAAAACAAAAAACGGAACGTTATTGAGCACTTGCCACGATTATGGTGCACTATGAAAATACACACACACATAAAGCGGCAGCTAATAGCTCAACCTTTGCGGAAACTGAGCGGAACAGATAAACTTAAACCTAATATGCTGTTAGACTACTGCCTGTGTTTTCGAACCTAAGCAACCTTATAAAAAGAAAATTTTACGTATTTTTAAAAATAAAGTTCTATAATAAAAGGTTCAAATGGTTATAAAGATACATATTTTACATAGATTTTTGAAAATTTTCAAAAGAAAATGTTCAAAACTCGCAAATTACGACGCTATTTTCGGCAGTCCCTCTGTAAAAGGTGCCTCCGCGTTGATAGCAGAACTTCATACAGGATCATCTAAAGTAAAAAAGAAAAAATACGTGTTTTAATTAAGGCCACAAACTAGATATTGAATGAAGGAAAATATTGGATATTTTATTTTTGGCAATTTGAAAATTGGTTTTCAGTTCAAGGTTCAGGTTCATGTAGGCGATACATCTCCTACAAACTTTAAAACACAGTTTCGAGGAAAACACTTTTAAAGTCGTAAGTGATTATTTACATAGCTGACTTCGAGCGCGCGACTTTTCAAGATTGTATCTCCAAAACTATTACTCGGACCAGCTTGAGCATTTAGGACAGTATTTTAGAGATGTTATAGAATTAAATAAGATAATAAAAAAAATCAATTTTTTGAAGCCGTGTAACCCATGTAACCCCTTATGCACAGTTTAACGATTTTCCAACTGGGCAGCAGCTCAGATTGATGGACAATGCCTCACAGCAACAACGCAACAAAACGATAACGCGCATCACCATAACACTGCACACACTCACACACAATAATTGCGTTAAGTGTGGAAATTTGGTTTGCATGTCGATCGAATTGTGGGTCATTAGCAATAAGTAGGTTCTCGGTGGTTGGAAACATTTTGAAAGATGCTTTTAATGGCTGACATGCAGCGGCAAGTTGTGGTTTGGTGGCATGCAACCAAACATGATTTGTATTTTGCTACTTTACCGCTGCTTTGCTGCGATCAAACGGTCAACGGATGAAAACGAACGAACAATCGATCGATCGATCAAATCAACGGTCATTGGGGCAGAAACTGATGGTCGCCTGTTTGCAGTTACGCAGCCAAATGGGCGCATTGTGATGAGCTTATGCTGCGCGTGACTCTGGCACACCGCGGTAATTGTTTCAGTAGTTAACGTGTCGTGTACATTGTATACTTCAACTGATCGTGCTACAAAATGGGCACAACTCTGAAGATACACCCGCATTGCGTAAGTAGACAATGGTGTGGTCTTATTATGTCGTAAGGCTTGTTGGGCTGATCGATCTTGCATGGTCATTTCAGAAATTAAAAAAATATTTCTTTCAAATGCTCATCAAGTGTAGGCTTTATAAACGCTACTTAGGCGCGTTAGCATGCTAGGCGAGCACTTTCAGATTTCAATGAAATTTCTTGGAAACAGACAGACGGTAGAAAATGTTGAAAAAAACAAAGCAGAGTGTGGGTGCATACGAAAAATTCTTATTTGGAACTGCATTACGTGGTTAGGTGGCATTGGTGCTGCGTGCGTTTCCTTTAAGAATTCGTAGAACACCATACCAATGCAAGCCAAACGAACACGCTGAGTGCGGTCGATGGGCAGCTTCAGCTCAGCAAAGCTACTTTGTGCTAAAGTGCCGATGGAGGGTGTTGGAGCGCCAACAGTGAAGACAGTTGGTTTTGTCACACTGACACAGGCACAACAGCATAACGAGCAGCAAGCCGGTTGGACGTTTGTTCACGTCAAATGGCTATCGCAACTCGAAGCGACGCGCATAACTCAAATCAGCTTGGCGCAGAGCGAACGCAATCAATTCATTTTACGCCATTCACACTGAACATATCAGCGAGTGCAAAATAAAAGAAAAAGAGCAGCAACATTATAATAAATAACAGGCGCTCAAAGTGAGTTTACGTTCAAAAGTGCTTCAGCGAATGCTTCAATCGACTTTACACTAATCCTTTTGATGTTGTTATAGCACGAGCTATTCTTGTTTCGCCATAGAAGTAGAAAAAAATAAAAATCAAATCAACATACATGCAGAGGAATGAAAGACAACCAACAAAGTCTTCACGGCTTCACGGCTGTACTTCGATCATCCGCCAGCACCGAATCTAATGCGCGCAAAGGTACATACTCCAGCGCCATAGAAATCTGTAAAAGCGGACGGACGGACAAACAGACAGACAATGACAGGCAGGGAGACATTGCCAGTCAGCCATTGAGCTATTGAGGCAGCTAGCGTGTCGGGCAGGCGAGCAGCCAGCCGGTGCCATTATGACAGCATGATTAGGCATAACAGTTTCATAAAAGCAGCAAATCGTGCGCGGGCCCCGTGTCCGTAACGACAACAACAACAAATACAATTGCAATAAAAACGATAAGTAAAGCGTCCCTTACACGCCCGCGCTCAGCGCAGCAAACGAAAAGTCAAAGCTTTGCTCTAGCTGTTGGTTGCGCGGGCGGGCCGCGGCAGCTTAGTGCCAGCGGCAAGCGTAACAAATTCTCGCAAATCTTTCTATAACACATTTGTTGTTGGCTCTTGGCAAATGCCTGGCAACCAGTGCCGTAATCTACACCTGGCCGCTTTGTTTGCGTCATTAGGTTTGTACCGTCCGCTTCTATAGCGGGTACGGGTTCGCGCCTGCGCACGGCCAAGCGCCGATGAAAAAACATTTGCTTGGCTTTGGTGCGACATTTGTTTTTAACTTTTTTTCGCGCACGTTGCGGATCAGCGACAATTGTAACAATTGAAGGTAATAATTATTGTGGGTGGCGGCGTTGTCGCAGTGCGCTGCTTTGATTTGCGCAGTTGGACTTAGGAGCTGCTCTCGTTTTGGCACTTGGCAGCGCGTTAAATTTGCTCTCGTTTATCTCGAAATTTGCGTAATCTTTACCACTTTTCGATTTTGCTATTCTATTATGCCTTTTAAGTATATTTGCCATTCGGTGTCTGTGTTTTTGTTGCTCCTGCGCAGCCAGCGCGCATTTGCATATGGCGCAGATCCGTTTGAGCGCGCATTACCTGTTTAAAATTTTTACCTTTTCCGTTTTATTCTTTGACATTGATATTTTGTCACAGCGCTGGCTACACAGTGCACACCAAGCACTTGATGTTGCTTTTGAAAACTGTTGCTATGATTGATTAATTTCATTTCCATTTCGATTTTTCTGTTGATCCGCTACTATCAAACCACACACACACCCTTTCACTTACCATTTCAAATAGCCAGCCAGGCCGTCTTGCGCGCTCTAGTCTCGCAGTTGTGATTACCATTCAAACGGTAGCATGGCCTTAAACGGCCACAAAGCTGCCACTACTTCGCCTTGTGATTGGCACCTAATGTGAAAAAAATTTGTAATACTCACTTAGGCCTGCTAGTGATGGCGCACTCAATTTTGTCTATCTTAAACATAATTTCGCATTGCCCAACCCTCACTGCAGCTTCCTCAAAACCTCTTACCACACAAACGACGAAGCTGCCTCACCCTGCTTCGGCGTGCTGCTTCTTTGTCGTTATTTTAAGACATGTACCTTCACTTCGCTTGCCTCACTCGGCAACTATGCTACACGGTTGAACTCATACCGCCATCGCTGCGCGACGTCTCGCATCTCCGCCGTTCGTTTCGCATTGTCTCATACCGAATTTGGCCGCGTCCGTTCTCTGTTACGGTACATTTAAGGTCGCCATATGCTTTTTGATTTCGATTTGATGCTAAGCGTTGCTCATTTTATAATTTTGATCTCTTTTTACATTTTTCGGTGTAGTTGTTTGTATGCTTGTATATGGTATTATATTTCTTATACGATTAAACTTGATTGTGTGTAGCAAGCTACATACAAGCAATACTTCTGCGTGTACTCCCGTCTCATTTCATAATTTTCATTTTCGTTTCGTTTATTTTTTGGCACAGGTATTTTGTGATCCATCGAATTTACAGCGGCATATTCGTGCCAACCACATCGGTGCCAGAAGTCACGCGTGTCCGGAGTGCGGAAAAACATTTGGTACATCGTCCGGCCTCAAACAGCACACGCACATCCACTCGTCGGTGAAGCCGTTCCAGTGTGAGGTGTGTTACAAGGCGTATACGCAATTCTCGAATTTATGCCGTCACAAGCGCATGCACGCCGATTGTCGCATGCAAATCAGATGTCCTAAGTGCGGCCAGAGCTTCAGCACGGGTACCTCGTTAACAAAGCACAAGCGTTTTTGTGACCCCACCAACGTGCCGCTGCCACCCCAGCCCGTATCAGCCGGATCCGGTGTGAATTTGCCACCACATTTGCCGTCGCACCAACAGCAAGTCATGCAGTCTCGCGTCTTACAATCGATGAACGCAGCCGTCGCAGCCGCCACTGGTAATACCAATGGTACAGGCGCTGGCTTACCAGGTACTGGCATGTCGCCAGCCGACCATCCGTTCGTGCTGTTTCCACCGTTCTTTCCAAATTTTCCTGCTGCAGCCGCTGCCTACGGATTGCCGGGCATATTTCCGCCGAGCTCAGCGCAGGCGTCCAATTTCCCATTCTTGTTTCCAAAGACTAATTTGGATATGTGTATGCCGGGTATGCCGACGTCAAGCGGTCACAATACATTCAGCAGTTTGCCGTCTATTAAAACTAGACGGCTTCATAATTTGACCTCTGGCGAGAGTATGCGCTCAGGAGATGTATCACCGCCGTCGAGTGAGCACAGTCTGAAGCAATCGAATAGTAATGCTAATGCCACACTAAGTCTAGCCACGGATACTGATGAAGATGGAAAAGTGGCCACTCCACTTGCCTTGACGTTAGCTTCTAATTCACCAAATTTTAATATCAATCAAAACAGTTTCTCCACACACAATCCAAGTGATGAGGATACCAGCTCGTCTGTAGAACTAAAGATTACACAAAATGATGACGTCGACGTACAGGAGCAAGAAGAAGTTGAGGAGGCGGCAGATATGTCAAAGTTTGAGACCAGCACCAACAAGCTTATGGAAGATGACAAGGTAAGTTACTTGAAGCATCACTTAAAAGTCACTTGCGTCGCCATGTAACTAACAACCCTGTCCTCTGTTTTCAGAAATCGATTGATATAATGAGCACTCCACCTCCGGCGGACCCCTCGGATGAAGAAAATAGCAAAACCACAAATAGCGCCGCAGCTGCGGAACTGCCACTAGATTTGAGTATAGGCCGCAAGCGTGTACGCACCGCAAGCTCCAGTTCAACTGCCGACACGCAATCGGTGCACAGCGATCGCTCCACCAACCAGGCTACGCAAGGCGAGCACAAGTCTGATTGTGAACAGCAACCGGAGTCTAACCTAATACGCGTGCATCACCATAAATTACTCAAGCGATCAAGCCAAAAAATATCAACACGTCGCTGCGAGAAGCTCAATCGTACACCCTCGATTACCGCTTCGCCTGGACCGACACCATCACCTTCGCCACCCAGCAAAGAGCAAGTCAATTTATTGTCAAACGATTTGAATTCTTCAGCGTCGGCGGCGGACTTTGATTGCCTTCAACCGTTAGAACGAAATCCGCTATTCTTGGAAGAGATCTATCATCGTTCGCGCACACTAAATGACATCTTTCCACGCCCGTTTCCTTTTTTAGGGCCAATGGGCGGACGGCCAGCCTTTGATAGAGCATTACAATGCTCTGATATGCCGTTTCCGCCCGAACCGGTTTTTCGCAAAAATCTACTACCTGCCGGTCTCATCGGCAGCATGTTGGCCACGGCCTCCGGCAAAATCAAGGATCGCTACACATGCAAGTACTGTGGCAAGGTATTTCCGCGTTCAGCCAATTTGACACGTCACGTGCGCACACATACCGGAGAACAACCCTACACGTGTAAGTACTGCGATCGTGCTTTCAGCATTTCGTCGAACCTTCAGCGTCATGTGCGCAATATACACAATAAGGAGCGTCCGTTCCGCTGTCATCTGTGCGATCGCTGTTTTGGCCAGCAAACGAATCTCGACAGACATCTGAAGAAACACGAAGCCGACACGAACGGTTTGGGTGTTGGTTTCGGCGACTCGCCATCCTCCAATGAGGCAGATCGGGAGGACAACTATCTCGATGAGATACGCTCCTTCATGGGCCAAGGCACATACAGCGAAGAACAGTATACACCAACAAGTATTGGTGGGGCCGAAAACGATACCGACTATGCGGGCAGCGATGCAGACGTGGAGTTATCCGTCTCGCGTTCATCGTCAGTCGATGCGTTGGCTATTAGTAGTGGTGAGGATGCAGTGCTCGTAAAACAAGAGCCGTCGGCAGATGCGACGAAAACCAGCGACGAGGTGGATGTAAGCTCATAAGCGAGAGCAAAGAGACAAACGGCAGTATTGCTTAGAAGGTGTTAAGTGTTTTGAGTTGAAAATTACATAACTAACGGTCATCGTGGATGTGTAGGTGAAACGAGCATATTTCGTAGCGCAGCTTCATGCTGAGTTCTGTAACATTTAGCAATTGCGTCAATAGTGATAAAACAGTGCGCATATACTCGTGACTTACTATCAAACAGATGTGGTGAAAATATAAGCATAATGAAAATTAAGTGTATAAATAATAATTGTTGGACATAAACATACAGTTTCACATGCGTACATACACATATGGTATTTGTGTATATATAGGTGTGTGTATGTAGTATTTAGGTGAGCGCATTATATGCTAAGTATCTAAACTACAGTTGTTTTTGTAATAAGTTTTGTTAAATTAACTATAATGTAATATTAAACCTAAATGAATTCTTGATTAGTTAGCTAGCAAAAGTCAGGAAAGTTGAAAATAATTTTTTGCTACCAAAAAGTGTGAATTGGGCCTCAACAGTCCACCAATTTGCACTCAGCAGCACTTGAAAGCGTCAATAGAGTATTTGTTTAGTTGTAAGTGCCACAATTAAATATTAAAATTTAAATAAATAAGCAAAAATGCGAAAATAAATGCATATACCTATATTAAGTAATTAGTAAGCTAAGTACTAAAAGTCACTTGTAAATAAATCTAATAATAATAAATGATGAAAGAGGTAGTTATATGTTTTGAGACAACACGCGCACATAATACAATTATAAATTAAATAAACAGAATATGAGGGGAAATACGTATGTAAATGTTTAAGTAAATAAATTAAATTTGATTTTTGTAATTTGTAAGAGTAAACAAGTCGTTTAATAAATAAATAAAAGATTTAAAAAAATTTAAATATTTTTTTATACCCTGAACAGGTTATAAAAAGTTTGCCATGAAGTTTACAACACCTAGAAGGAAACGTCGGAGAGAATATAAAATATATACATCTCCGTCTGTCTGTCTGTCTGATCGGATCACTATAGCGTATAGCTGTTATACAAACTAAACGATCAACATCAACTTCTTGTATAGGAACTTCGTTGTTTGTACAGGGAATTAAAGCTTCGCTTGGTTGGAAAAAAAAATTGCATGACTCAATTCTGGCCTGGAGTTATTTTTTCCATGTTCCATGCATCACTCAATTAGAAATTTCGCTATTATTGTAATGATGGGTGCAAGACACACAATTACGCTTATAACTGCGTATGTGAGCTGTTCATGTTTCAATCTTACAGCCGTGACTTGAAGTTTATCAAATCAAAGCTTTTTGGTAAACATTAGCGCATTTATTTCATCTGCTGCTCCTTGCTTCTTTCGTAGTTTGAATACACTCACTATAGTTGTTGTTGTTGTTGCTGTTACTGTTATTCTTGTTGTTGGGCAACCAGCGGCGTTTTGTGAAGGAAACGTTTCAAGTCCAAATAATCGACTGCAATAAAAACGCCATTCACTTAATCACCGAATTAGCACTTTCATTTTCATTACTGCGCACACATACACACACAAGCATATATATATGTACATATATACATATGCATATGTAAGTAATCATAAGCATATAAATATGTATATATCTACAAGCGTATGTACACATTCCGATATGTGCATTGGCTGCCGTGTATGCGCGTTTTATTTACGGAACTCTTGAAGACGTTCTAAAATCAAGGTTAAGTTGTTTTTGATTCAAATTTCGTACGCTCTCTTCACATCACTATGGCTTAATTATTGCTTTACAGTTTTTCGATCGCAATTAGCTGCTAATGGAACTAATTTAAAATGAGTGTTATCTTTAATCATCTGGTAAGTGCAGTCATTTCATGCTTCGAAATCTTATCGATAAATCATAGTGTAGATTAATGGCCTCGTAAAAAGGCGTCGACAAGCGCAACGGATTAATAAGCCTTAAATGGTTTGGTTTAAAAAATGGTTCGACACATTTTACTTTGAGAAATTGTAGCTTTCTCAGCGATGTACTGTGAAAGCTTTAATCAGAGACTTAATAATGATTACTTTTATTGAGAAGTTGTTGGATCAATAAAATTATTAGGTAAAAAAAAATGTTTTTATGATAAATAAGATTTTTTCAGTGTGCTTTTTTAGGATTAGAGAGTTTGTAACATGTCGTGTAACATGTCTTTCAGCATAACGTTTCTGATTCTTAGTTAGAATTCTGCAGCGCTGTCAGTTTAATTGTGTTTTAACAAATTCGAACTATGGCCAATGTAATCTCAATTAAATACTTGAGTTCAGTTGTAGTTCCAGGCCAGTCGGACATTAGGTTCGCAGTCAAGATCGGATACTTAATTCTTTTACCCTTGGAGTTCGCTTTAACCTACTCAATCGTAAGGCCCTTCGGGGAGTATTATGGTGGTTTAATATTCGAATGCGTAAAGAGCTGATCTTGTGTCAGTTCAATGTAGAATGTAGAACCCGTTAAACACCGAACGTTGTAGTTCCAGGCCAGCTGAAATCAATCTATGAATGTTTGCGTGTATTCAGTGTCTCTTCAAACATAAATCCTTATATACGTTACTTTGTTTTCGGACACTCAGCAATAACTAGCTTCCTCGGTTAGACAATGAGCACCTTTAGAAACTATATTATCGTTGAATGACAAAGTGTTATGTTTTCATTATTTATGCGATAAATAAAATCTTAGCCAAACCGGAGAACCTTGGTTGGTACTACTATGCATAACCTTAAATCGGATGTGACGACAAATATAGACAATAAGAAATAAAATGCATATAATTTAATGTTATAGTTTGCCATTATGTTTTAAAAATGATTTCAGGCAAGTAATTGATGTAACTAGCTCGAAAAAATTTCAGCCAAGCGCCCATTTTTCGACCACTTTTTGCATCAATAGGGGCCGTACGTCAGCAACAACGCTCCGAGTATTCTCTTCCAAGGCGTCATTCCTCTCGCGCTCATATGCGTAGACATGCGACTTCACATAACCCCACAAATAGTCCAGCGGTGTTAAATCGCATGACCTTGCCGTGTCATAGGTCCACGACACGAGATAATGCGCTAACCAAAAGTTGTTTTCCATAAATTGATTGTTTCGTTGACTGTAAGGTATATAGCGCCGTTTTGTTGTAACTAAAGGTCGTCCACATTAAAAACCTCCAATTCAAACACGAAAAAGTTATTAATCATGGCCCTATAGCGTTCCCTATTGACTTTATAGCAGGCTTAATTTTTGAAGAAATATGGACCAATGATTCCCTCTGCCCATAGAGCACAGAGTCTCAACAATCGTATGTGGATCAACATCACTCCAAGTTCGACAATTTTGTTTATTAACGTCCGCATTCAACCAAGAGTGAGCTTGAACGCTGAATAAAATTTTTTTATGAAAATCGGTATCGGTGGCCATTTCGTTTTGTGCCCACACGACACGCTTGATGAATGTTCGTCTACAGATCTTATACCAGTTGGATTTCGTAAGCCCGAAAACCAAACTAATACCGCAAAATCTTCAATAAAGTGTATGGGCACAGCTCCAATTGTTGCGAGTGATGGCGGATGGACTCATTCGAGTAATCTTCGATACTCTGTTCCATAGCAGCAATAGCGTGTTCGGTGCGCACTGTACGGCGTCTCTGAGGACACGTGGTGTGAAAGTGATCCATGGTTGATTACATCGATCGAATATTGAACGCACCGCGCGATAAGTCGCGCGAACCGAACCATTATCTTTGGTAATAAATTTGCACGATTTGCAAACTTTGTTTCCGAGTTGATTGGTTTATTATAAAATGGCAAACCAAACTTAGAATAAATCAAGTAACAACTGTCAAAAGAAACAACTTCGAAAAAAGTATTAGCTCATTGAAAACCACACGTCTAAAAAATCACCCGTTCGATTATTATACAAGCTCTTAACTATTAGATAGCACAACTTATAGCAAAATTATTTAATTACTCTTAGCAGCTGCCCAAGAAAAATCCGAAAATCTTTATGAGAAGAGTAATTATACTCGTACATGTTGTAAGTATGTAAGTGAACTGGACTAAAATTGGCTTAATTGTATTTACTAATATGTGGTTAGATTAATGTAGATGCTTAGCTACTATGTATAGACTGCAGCGAATGATTTGTAAAAATAATTGTATCACTTCAACCAACCGCTGCATTTCAGTATTGACGATATCACACTCGGATAAGTTTCCAAAAAAAAGTTTACGAAGACAGCTTTCAACGTTTTGTTGAAATTTAAAGACGGGGGATGTGAACAAAAAACTGGTATAATTCAAATTGGCTATAATATTTGAATAGAGATACAATAGATTTTTAATGATTCCGCGTATGCTACTTTAAGTACACTCCCTAATATTAACTTGATGTAAATCTTTTGACAAGAAAATAGAGCTCAGACATAGCGAGAAGAGAAGTGACGAAAGGAAGAGTTTGTAGTAATACATAAGAGACTAGATCATTACATCCATTCCAAGGTGTATTTACAGTTATTGAAAAGAAATTTGCTACATTTTTAATAAAATGTTTAAATTTGTTTTATTGTAGGAAATCTATCTAAAATCTTTAAATGCTTTTATAGCATAACCTTTAGAGTTAGTTCACTTATTTTATAACTGGTCGAAGCATATATTGAGGCTTTCAGAACATATATTTCCACCTAAACGAACTTTCAATGATTCCCTCGGTAAGTAACCACCGAGTAAGCAATGATTTTCCGTTTATTTATGAGTAACCATAGAACGGTACAATGAAGCGCGCTGAAAGAAAATCACAAATTTTAACCAGCTTGAGTAGAAGGTGCTAAGAAACCAACAATAACAATGGTGATGATTAGAAAAAAACGATCGAAAGGAATGAAACATCAAAAATTATGTACCTACAATGCAACGGTCTACTCACTGACCAACTTATAAAGTTACTAACCAACTGATTGAATGCCTGTGTGATCGACTGTGTGGCGCACACACATCCAATGGCGCATGTAGGGGCCTGCACTGGAGCAAATGACTGTTTTGCACGCGCGAGTATGTCGAAAATTTATGGTTTCCATTTGATGCCGAAGATGAATGGGCAAGTGAGCTTTTGCGTCACCTGGTGAAGACTTGCCGCCGTGAGTCCATTTGTGCACGAAACGGCATGCGCGTACAAAGTTGGCCAGCGGTGGCGGGAGGTAGGCGTAGTACCAACATTAACGACTGAGACAGTGGCATTAACTGTTAAATTACATACTCGTACACATAAGCAACCGAACCGAAACCAAATGCGGCCGCGGCAGTTGAGGCAGCCACTGCAACAGGTCAAGCAGCGTTCGACAATTGGAGCAGCCACAGGAGGTGTGAGCGGATGTAGTGAAGTAATAAAAATTGAAGCAGCGCTAATCTGGCCACTGATGGTTTTCTTAATGAGCAACTCAACGGGCCGCAAAGGTGCACACCGCGCTTAGAAATCCATTGAGAGAACGGTAAACACGTTTGTTTGAATGTATGCGTATTGACTTGCCTGATTTTTGTTTTAACTGCCACTCACCGCATAGATGGATTCGTATGGCTTCATTGTGTCGCTACGAAGTTTCATATATACCACTGTATACATACATGTATATATTTTCTATATATTTTATCTTTCGAGCTCGGTACACAATTCTATAGCGGTCCCATATAAGCTGCGTCCCACAATTTACGTACGTCGATTTTATTGTATAATTAATTGTAAAGATGAATGGTATTTTTTGTAGAAATCAAAAATCTAAAATTTGCCGACATTAAGGAAATTTAAAATATTTCCTTAACATGTAGCGTAAAAAACTCTCGGCGATTATCTCTACATTGTTATTATCCTTTTTCCGCATATCAAAAATCTAG